TTAAACCAAAATAACAATAATTGAGATAGCTGCAATTATCGAATCTTGTTCCTTTGATCCCCCTTAGGTTAAAACATACCCATACATTGGTCAAAGGCTGTCACGAACAATTGACCCATGTAGGATAATAACCTAATTGCTACTTGTACCACTACTCGTGATAATTATGGATCATCGAACCATGGATAGCAGTAGGAAGATCAACATTAATTAATTTTTCAAACTAGTTAACATTAACATCTATAAGAACATGCACGAGAATCAACGAATAGTTGAATTAAAAGCAAGAATTTAAATTAATAACAGAACCTCACGATGACACAATTGAATCGAAAATCCCCCTTGAATCAGAAAAGAAAAGCTTAGCCGCTCATGGTTGTCGACTCCCTCTTGCTCTGCTTTCCAGATGGATGGACTGATCTTCTGAATTGATTGAGTGATGCCTAAAGCGGGTCTGCCCCCCCCTCCTTTATATAGCTTTAGGAGGAGGGGCTCTCTCCAACTCCTCTTAGGAAATTATCCTCAAAAATAGAAAGTCCTAATCAGTTTTGATCTAATCCTANCTGAATTGATTGAGTGATGCCTAAAGCGGGTCTGCCCCCCCCTCCTTTATATAGCTTTAGGAGGAGGGGCTCTCTCCAACTCCTCTTAGGAAATTATCCTCAAAAATAGAAAGTCCTAATCAGTTTTGATCTAATCCTATCCTATCTCTTATCTAGTAATCTAATCTCAATTATCTTATCCTTCTAAGATTACATTTGAAATTTGAATCTGATGGTACTCTTTATTCTTGAATTCGAGTTGGGCTCTTTAATAACTTGGGCCACTACAAGGCTTTCTTGTGAATTGGGTTCAGCTGTGAAGTGGGCTTTACTATGAATTTGTTCCGACTTTGGGCCCGATTTTAACATCTATGCAGACCGAATCTGTCAAAATAAGAAACATGAGAGTTGTGGATTTCTCCCTTATCTTACCAGTGCATCTTGAATCATCCCAATTGGAGTTCGGAGTTGAGAGTTATGCCCCGATTACTGAACAGTGCCGAAACTGTGCAAAATCATCCGATTAGTCTTGTTTTCCTCCATTTGCCTTTTCGCTTGCCCTGAATCGAAATACAAGAGTAATGAGTCCAATTAAGTGCTAATTTAATGTAAAAGAATGAATATTTGGGGATATAAATATGATACTTTTTATTCCCATCAATAACCCCACCACCTTTCTGTGACGGATCATATCCACTCATCATATGAGTTTCCCTTTGGCCTCTGTTAGACAAGGTTCAGAGCCGTTTTCAGGTAAACCTTTCTGTCGAGTGAGTGCTCACCCATCATATGTTATGCCAAGGTACCATGAGAGAATTCCCATTTTCTGGTGAAGACCCTCCCACATCGGTCTATGACGCCCCTATCATCTTATGAAACACTCTAAATGACCCAACAACAATTGGATAGCCCAATTTTATGGTGCGTTTCCTCATTACTGAAGGACCCATCATCGTGCTAATGATGGAAGGCCTTTAGAGAGTCCATCATATGGATCTCCCAATCACATGCACTCATATTTGCTAGAGGGAACAAAAATTACGCCCTACTTAATTTAGGTCAAACTAGAGTGGCTCCCACTGACTTTCATAAAGTCAGATTTATGGTGGCCCAAATCGGCTATGGTTTCCGCACGCATCCCTTTTCAGGGTTGTGGGGCCCACCATGACAAGAAGCGGTCATCCAATGACCATAAGGGACACTATGGCAATGATGTGCATTCAACCACGATTTGCACAAGAGCCACTAACGAATCATCATGGGCCAAGTGCTTATGGTCCACGGACACAACACATCAAACATCCACACATCACATGAAATGGAAGAATTGATTCAATCAATTAACTACTGTAAAGCCCATTAATCAGCCCGTTTAAAGTCCATAATATTAACCATTAATATCATCTAGGTATATGGGCTGAATCGCAGTTAGCAGTTTGGCCCATATAACTTTTATGTAAAACTACGCTTTTGCAGTTTTAACCCCTTAAAACTAGGCTTTACAGGTTGGGCTGAATTGGTTCTTCCAATTAAAATTGATTTCAGACTTGAAAGTGGGAAATAACAGGACTGAATACAGCCCCTTTCGAACCCTAGATTTGGTCCAATCTGGTCCTAAACGGTCCAAAACCAATCTTTAATTCAAGAAACAATTCAATGAAAGATCTGAAATTAAAATTCTAAATTTTGACAAACACAAAACAGATCTGGACTGTTCGTACAACCTGCAAAACAGAGGTTAGTAATTAGAGTTGCAGTTTCCAAAACGCAGATAGCGAACTCTTCATCTGCGAACCTCCAGCGCCGCCACCTTTTTCAATCAAGAAAATAAAAAAAAGAAATCCTATTTCTATTAAATAGTTACATTCTTGATTGAATCCTATACATTTAGTCTAGAAAAATAAAAAAAATCATTTTACAGACCGAATAGAATAGAAATTGCAAATAAAGATTGCGCAGACAATCGGCGCCAATTCTGCACTTCGATCTCCAGGTACGAACAGTCCATTAAATCAAGAAATAAATTAAGAACAGTTTTAAATTAATTTCCGATTTAACAAAATTAATTTCAGATCAATCGCCCAAAACAAGAAACAATTTCTTGAAGCAAAAGTACAATCTGCGCAATACCCGGATAGAACAGCTTCTACCGAATTGCGTAGGTTCAGATCTGATCTTTCGGTTCAAGTTTCGAACCTGTGGCTCTAACACCACTGAAAGGAATGGTAGGATCCATCGTATGGACGCCAAAACTGTTGCGCAATGGGTGGGCGAATTTCAAAAATTTTCTACCTTTCTTCCAACTGGGAATCGCATTCCCTGATTTTAGAATCAAAATTCAAGGATCCTGCTTGAACCAAACCACACCAGATTTGAACCAAAAGAGAAGGGAGGGATTATACCTGATCCAGAGAAATAGTATCTCCCAACGTTGGTGTTCACGCCCAAAGAAGATCACAAGATCAACTCCCACTGAAGATGACACAGTGATGATGGAGCCGAACCAACTGCATTCGTCCCACGAACCAGGTTCTTCTGAAGAACTCGATGGAAGATTGTGAGCACCATATGAACAATCAAGAACCTTTCTAGATTTTCTCTGACTGAGAACTCGAACTGGCAGAAAAGGTGGTGGCGGGTGCTAGAGGAGAATGCTAGAGAAAAAGGTGGCGAACAACTATTTTCCTCTCTAGGGTTATCTGAGATCTTAT